GGCTGTGTCTGGGTGTCCCTATAAATGGGGTTCTGTGTCTGGGTGTTCCTATGAACAGGGTGCTCTGGGTGTCCCTATGAACAGGGGCTGTGCCTGCAGGGGCTGGGGGCTGTGACACAGAGCAGATTTAAGGTTCACCTGCATCAGGAGGGATTCATTGACCCAGGTTGGGTTTTCCATGCCCAAAGAACACAACCCAAAGAGTGAACCATGCCCATGGTCCAGCAGGGTCAGGAACATCCATACAGGCYGGGCCCCACTGCTGGGGCTGCTTGGAGCCTGTTAATCCCAGCAGAACTGGTAATTTAGAAATTATTAATCATGATTTTATTCTATCTGTGCTGTTCTGGTCAACTCACTGATTTTCCAAAGAAACCCAACCAAAGGCAAGGGCAGATGTGGCAGTGAGACAGGAAAAGGAATTATTGCGATGTCCCCTTGGCCTGAGCACTTTTTTGGGCTATAAAGGACTCAAAGCTGCCCCCTCATCGGGCACAGCCGGACCTGCATCCTGCCCCATGCCAGGTGGGAGCAGCCAGCCTCAGGGATCTGTCAAACATTCCCTGGAGCAGGGGCTGAGCCCCAGTTCCCCAGCTCTGTGCAGGGCTTGTGGTCACCCAGGGRGACCTCCCGTCCCTCTTGGTGGGTGACAAAGAGCATCAGCTCCAGGGTGGCTGTGCCTGCTACGCTGAGATCCCACAGATCCCCCTGTGCCTCTGACCCCCAGCAGCAGAGCTGCTGGGCTGGGTGACACCGGGCTAAGTGACACTGGGCTGGGTGACATCCGAGCTGAGTGACACCTGGGCTGAGTGACACCTGGGCTGAGTGACACCGGCACCTTCCCTGCAGCAGCTGCGGCTCAGCCCTGCCTGCTGCTCCTGCCTTGAGCTGGCCCCAATCCTGCCTCACTTCTCTCAAAAGAGCACTTTCCAAACAGTTTCCCATCTCCAGCTACTTCACAAAGACTGGGAGAGCTGAAGAGCAGTGACAGGGATCTGGGGACAGATAAGCACCCTGATTCAGGCACTTTCATGGAATCACGGAATCACCGAGTGCTTTGTGTTGGAAGGACCTTAAAGCCCACCCAGTGCCACCCCTGCCATGGCAGAGACACCTCCCACTGTCCCAGGCTGCTCCCAGCCCCAATGTCCAGCCTGGCCTTGGGCACTCAAAGGGATCCAGGGGCAGCCACAGCTTCTCTGGGCAGCTCTGGAGGGTTCAGTCCGAGTCAGGGCTATTTGGAGGAGCACAAGAGTCTCAGGGTTGGCACCCTGTGCTGCAGGAGGTGTCCTGGTGCTATGGCTAGGTCCCCTTGGGCCTGGGCTTGGCTTTGGTGCTGGGAAGGTCTGGAGGCAGGTGCAGAGTTGGGGCTCAGAGCAGGGGCCAGGGGGAGGCAGAACTTGGACAGGACAGTCTGGGTGAGGGCGGGAGCAGGGGGTGCCAGCGTGTTCCATGGGCTCAGCAGACTTGGGAACCGCAGCTGGTGATCGTGCCATCAGGTGTGCTTGGGGACATCAGAGCCTCAGGAATGGTGACCTCCTACTCTCTCGGTACCAGCCACCATCAGAATCGAGCTGGACAGCTCTGATGAAGCCCTGGCACAGCCCCAGCTGGGCACTGAGGGCAGGGATGTTTGGGACAGTCCCAGGTGGCACCTGAGGAGCTGAGCTGGGCCAGGTGTGAGCCTTCAGCCTCAGCTTCTTCATGCTCCAGACACCTCGAGTGAGACATTTCTGGGGAGCATTGCCAGTTCTGTCATCCCAGAGCTGGGCAGAGCCTGCCCACCTCCCTGCCCACCCCCCTGCCCACCCCCCTGCCCAGCAGCTCCCTGCAGGTGATACACCCTGTAACAAGCACTGGGCACTCCAATTCCCAAAGCAAGGGTGCCTTTCCCTGTAGGATTTCTTTCCTTTGTGCACAGCCCATGCCTCAGGAGAGTTTCTCCTGCCCAGACATGTTGCTGAGGACCGTGATGCTTCTCCCAGTAAATGCCATCTCTCTCTCTCCTGTTCCCACCTGGCTGTCCCCCCCAGATGCAGCCTGGCTTTTCGGGCGCAGGTTCAGCGACCGCTCCTCGCTGTCCTCGGAGGATCAGTCCCTCTGGAAATACCCTGGTTTGGTTCTCTTCAGTTATATTTTCATTTTTTTATTCTGCCTTCTGGCCCTTTTCTTGACTAAAATACATCCACCGATTTTCCATCTTTCTGGCACGGGAACTAATGAACGTATTGCTCCTCACTGAGCCATCGCCACCTGTACTAACCCGGGAAGAGTCTGGTGGGATGAAGAAGAATCTCAGCTGCAGCTCCCACGTGTTCCTGGGTGCAGTTAGGGAATCTGGAGGGTTGGACTCACTCCATTTTGTCCCTGAGGTGGAGATTAAGGACCCAGTGAGGCCAGGAGGAGGTGACAACATTCCCTGTCCCATCCCACCTCCCTCCCTGCTGGCCCATCCCTCCCCATGGTCCTGCCATGTTCCCTCAGAATCCTCCACTAAACTGAGCAGTGCCACCTGTCAGGAACATCTGTCCCCTGGTGTCCAGTGCTATGGGGATGGCTCACAGCCCCTGGCCTTGCTTCCTTTGGAAGCCTTSCCTTCGGGCGCGCTGGCTGGCTGGGATGGAGGAGGAGGAGGATGTGCCAGCCTCTGCCAGGGTGTGCAAGGAGGGCATTTCCTTGGGATGCTGGGCAGGTGATKTGGGGAATGTTGGTGAAATGTGTGTCTGGGGGGAGGTGGTGGCTTTGGAAAGCAGGTCCCAGCCTGTGCTCCAGAGCTCATCGCAGGGTAAGTCTTGGAGAAGGAGATTGCGAAGGTGGGAAGTGTTGAGTTGGTGAATGAGGGGTGGAACACTGGGAAAAGGACAGGGAATCCTTAGGGGAAAAAGCGTGGCCTAAGGGAAAGAGAAACCCATCCCCCCAGAGAGTTACTCGGGTCACATCCCTGGGAGCCCTCCACACTGAGCTTCCCAAACTGGAATTACAGCTCTGGAGCTGAAAAAACAATCTTGCAGTAGAAGGTGGATGGTGTAAAATTCTGGGTTCATGGATGAGCAGCGTAGGAAACAACAAGCAGCAAACCTCAGTGGTGGGAAAGACTGGTATTCACTGTGAGGATGTGGAAACAGCCAGATTGCCAGAATTATTCCTTCTTGTTCCTTCTTCCACTGGAAATACGTTCCTGTGGATCCTTCAGTCCCGARTCTCTCTGCCAGAGGAGCCCTGCGTGTCCAGCTGGGAGTTTGCAGAGCAGGGATTGCTGGTTCTTCCATTCCCAAAGGAGCTCTCCTCCTCCAKTTCTGAGCTTTCCTGTCTCTACATCTTTTTAACCCATTTCTACATTAATTTCTTATGCACATAAGAAATCCTGAGCAATCCTGAACACCTTATCTCCTGCCAAAGGAGGAACATCTTGTATGGAATGACAGCAAGGGGAGGAAGCACAAGCGGCCTTGGGGGGTCGGGATGGGCAGGCAGCCCTGGGATCCCCAGTTTTCCATGGTGGAGGGGAGCATTCCCAAGGCTGTGGCCGGGTGAAGGGGCCTCCCCTGGCTCTGAGGTGACTCTGGGGGCCGGCGTGGGGCACAGGCAGGAGCTCAGGATTGCTGAGCTCCAGTTCCAGCCAGGAAGGAGGGATCCCAAGGAGCTTTGAAGACAGTTCATGAGCTGGTGCCAGGGTTCTGAAGGACATTCCCATATGGTTCCCCAAACCAAGGGGAATGGGCAGTCAGAGGAGCATACTTTTCACATTGAGGGTCTCTCTGATTAGTCACAGTGGTCATGGAACAGGCTGGGAAAAGGTGAGGCCACTCTGGGACCAGACTCGCCAGGTCGGGCATGCAGGAACTGGGCATGAATCCCAGAAAGTTTGGGATGGAAGGGACCTTAGTGCCCATCCAGTGCCACCCCCGCCATGGTAGGGACACCTCCCACTGTCCCAAGCTGCTCYCAGCCCCAATGTCCAGCCTGGCCTTGGGCACTCAAAGGGATCCAGGGGCAGCCACAGCTTCTCTGGGCACCYTGTGCCAGGGCCTGCCCACCCTCCCAGGAAAGAGTTTCTTCCCAGTATCCAAGATTTTCAACCAACCAGGGAACTGCCCATCCCTGGCAGTTCCATCCAAGGTTGGACAGGACTGGGAGCAGCCTGGAACAATGGAGGTGTCCCTGCCATGGCAGGGGTGGGATGGGATGAGCTTTAAGGTCCCTCCCAGCCCAGTCCCCAGTGYGATTCCGTGCTGCCACTGCTTTGCTCCCAGTGCTGCCCTGGCACGACAATGATGGAGCAGAGCAGAGCTGAGCTCCTGGAGTGGAGCTGTAGGTGCCAACATTGACTTGCTCCTGCTTTGGGCTGTGAAGGTCCCAACCAGGCAGCAGCGCTGGAGCCATGAGATGTCTGTCAGGGTGGAATGGCCCATGCCCTGGAAGTGCCCAGTTGTGGGCTCAGCAGGGACTGGGTGGCAGCTCTGGGTGGGATCAATCACGGGTTGGGTGAGTCACACAGCCACTCTGTGCTCAGGCAAGATGCTCAGATAAGGTGTTCAGAGGCACCAGCATCGGGAATGTCAGAGTTTTCCATGGGCTGGGCATTAATCCAGCATGTTCAGCACCAGCTTAAAGCTGCTTCTGCATTAAACGGGCTTTAACTGCTGGCACGAGGTGGGACAGAGCTGGTGGCACAGGGACAGGGTGATGGTGCTGGTGGCACAGGAATGAGGGCATGGGGTTGGGGATGGGGATGAGGATGGTGCTGGCAGGATGGTGCTGGTGGGACAGGAATGGGGGCATGGGGATGGTACRATGGTGATGGTGATGGTGGGACACRAATGGTGGCACAAGAATGGTGGCATGGTGCTGGCAGGACAGTGCCAGTGTTGGCGTGGGCCTGGCCGTGCCCTCAGCACTCTCCTGTCTCGTTGCAGCTCCGGCCTTGCCCAGCACAGTCCGGCAGCGCCTGGTGGAGCCGCAGCACGGCCATGGATCGCAGAGGTTGGTAGAGAGTCACATGCCGGGGCAGCCCGAGCCGGGCCCCGTGGCCCCGTTGCGGGCAGGCCGAGTGTCCCTGCGCCGAATGCACAGCCTCACCTCCGGACAGTCCTTCAGCTCCGACCTGCCCGGCTCCAGCCCATCGCCTGCCTCCACCTCTTCCACCTCCTGCTCCTCATCCACCACCACTGCTCCTGCTTGCCATGTCCACCCTATCTATTACCATCACACCACCTCTTATTTCCTCCAGATGGATTCCATCCCCGACCTGCCCCCTCCTGATGTCACCTCTGGAGTTCGCTGTCGCACTGGGAGCTTTGGGTATATTGCTGTTTCTTTTCTAGCTGCCTCCTGCCTGCTGTGCCTCACAGCTGATGCTCGCTCGGGTGCTCTTTCTCCCATGTTCCTCCCGCCCTTTTCTTTCGGGCCTTTATTCCATGATTTATCCACGTTTGTTCTATCCACTGTTGTCCCGTGCCGCTGAAGCCACTAAGGAGGGCTCCACGGGCCATCCCCACACCCCTGAGCTCAGTGGGGCATTGCCAAGGTGCTGTGCTGCTGTTTCACTGGAGCTGAGCAAACAAGAATTCCCGGGTGCTCGGTATTCCCTAAGCAAGGGGATGTGATTCCTAAACAACCGATCACCAAACCTGGCCTGATTTGAAGCCTGGGCTTCCTTGGGGTCCTCACTAGTGAATTGCAAAGGGAACACGCTGGATGGGGACCACGAGGTAGCAGTTGGAGAGATTTGGGATAGTTTCCAGAGCAGCAGTTCAGACGTGTTTCAGAGTGACTCCATCTCCAATCTGGTAGGAATGGGGATATTTTGGTTAAGGAATGTCTGAGGAGGGAGTTGGAGGTTCTGTGGTTGGCTTTAGCTTGGTCCCTTTCAGTTGGCTCTGTGGAGTCACGGTGGATCCCAGGGGCTGGTTATCSTATCCTCCATCCCTGAATCCCAGAGCTGTCCCAATTCCCTGTGCTGGCCATAGGGAAGAGCAGGAATCCTGCCTGGGTGCTCTGAGGGCGCCCGGGCACTTCAGGAGTGTTCTGTGTGCCAGGACAGGAGCAGCTTCCTCGGGTGGCTGTCACCGAGGGACACCCCGAACATCCTTATCCCACAGAGTCACAGATGCAGGCAGTCCCAAGGTGTCCCCATGTCCCTGCAGGGTCATGGATGCAGGCAGTCRYGAGGTGTCCCATGGGGTCACCGATGTGGGCAGTCCCAAGGTGTCCCCTGTGTCCCATGGGGTCACAGATGCAGGCAGTCCCGAGGTGTCTCTGTGTCCCTGCAGGGTCACGGATGCAGGCAGTCCCAAGGTGTCTCCCTGTGTCCCATGGGGTCATGGATGCAGGCAGTCATGAGGTGTCCCCTGTGTCCCTGCAGGTGTGGGATCCCCTGCGATCGGGGCCAGTCCCATGTGTCCTCGTGGCCTCTGGTGTCCCTGGCACTTGATGCAGGCAGGAGAAGGCTGTGATGGACCAGGGAATCCTGTCCTTGCCAGGTGCTGCCTGTGACCCTTGACTGGTCACTCCATCTCTATTCCACGCTTTCTCCTTGGCAAAATTAGAAATCGTCTCCTGATCCTCAGTGCAGAGGAGCAGCTCGACTGCTGGGAGGAGGATGGGAGTCTCTGGGTGAGGTACAGGACAAGGGAAGTGTCCTTCCACCATTATTTATCCGGGCAAGACAACATTCCCAGTCACCACATGTTCACCCATCCCARCACACTGTCCCGTTATCCCTTTACCTGCAGGTCCCTGTGCCCTCAGGTGCTGGGATCTGTCCTGGCCTTGTTCACACAGTCCTTGGCTTGGATGTTCCACCCCTTCCCTGCCGCATGCRTCTCAAAGCTGAGCAGCCCCAGGCACATTCTGGAGTCTGGAATATCGAGGGGGAAATTCCTGCACCTGATCCTTGATGGAGAATTAAAGAGCAGCATCTGGGTTAATTCAGGAATGGTTGTTTGGGGATGATAAGAAGCAGTGTAATTAATGAGCTCCTACCAGTGGGAGCTCAGCTGCCGCTGTCCCAGTTGGACTGGTGGAAGCTGGGAATGCTGCTCATCCCTGCTTTCAGTGGCCTCCCTAAATCTGCAGGAGGGAGAGCTCACCCTGGCAGCCTGGGGCTYAGGTCCTGCTTCCAAAATAGCTGTTTAAATGGGATTTATTTCTTTCTGAGGCCCCTGMCATACAGAATTCCTGCCCAAGACAAAGCCTGAGTCTTGCAGACCCCCTGAGAATGATGGAGGGAAACAGGATCTGGTGTGGGGACCCCAGGGAGAGAAAGGGACRGTGCCAGAGGTTGTTAGGGGGGAATGAGGGGAGGCCTCCCCTTGGTCAGAGGCCAGCTATTCACCGCTGGGTGACAGCAGGACTGTCCTCTCCCTGCTCCTGTGACAAAGGGTGCTGCAGGGTAAGCGATGGAGTCAGAACCTTCCACCCAGGATTTGCTCCAGCTACACCACAACAGGTGACCCCCCATCCATCCCTGCACATGCCAGGCAGCAGAAATGAAGAGTTGGCTGCCCAGCGATGTGGGTTTGTCACTTTTAATTGTTCTGTGCAGCTGCATCATTAGCAGATCCTGCTCCGATGCATCCCATGCCGGGCTGATGGATTGCTGCTCCTCCTTGATATTCCCAGTCCCGGAGGCCTTTCCATAACCCCTGGAGCTCTGCAGCCTCCCGGGGAGGGAGGCAGGACAGCTGGGGAGGCTCAGAAAGGCCTGCCAGGGAGTCACTCCAAGGACCAGAGCAGAACCCCAGAGATTCCTGGCTCCCTTGGCAGAGGGAATGTGCCASCCTGATTGTGGGGGCTGCTGGAGCTCTGTAGCCTCTCCCACATCCCGCAGATGCCAGAGGTGGGGAGAGCTCACAGGAGAAAGCATCTCCAAGGAGCTGCCCCCCCRAGAAAGGCTGGGGATCGCTGTCTCCAGATCCTGCTGGGTTATCCTGGCAGGGAGCTGCTTCCCTCAACTCCTCACTCTTTGCTTCTCTTTTGCAATTGGCTTCAGAGGATCCAGCACCAATAAGGTCAGAGCGGTTCCGGGCCGGAGGTGGCTGCGGGATCGGGGGGAGAGGGGCTGGAGGGGACTGTGTGTGCACAGAGGTTTCTGCTGCCAGTGCCTGCCTCAGGTGAATAAAACTGATGGAGATGGGAGTGTAGGACCAAATCCCCATGCCCCATCCCTTCATGCAGGAAGGGAGGTGGCAGCCAAAGCACAGCAAAGGCAGAGAGTCAGGAATCCAGGGAAATGAGTAATTCACAGCTCTTGCTGGGTGGAAGGGAGGAAGCTGCTGTCGGGTTTGCACTGAGCTCAGCCCTACAGCAAATTTGGGAATTTGCCTTAGGAAAAGCCTTGGAGCCCCACATGCACAGAGCCCAGCAGCCAAGGGTGCTCCAGGCACCGGGCAGGGAGGGATGAGGCAGCGAGGGCTCTGGGGGCTGGGGGAGCACACCCAGGGCAGCTCCTGGGCCCTGCCGGGCTCTGCCCAAGCAGGAGCACCCCAAGAAATCCCTCACGGGCTGCAGGGCCAGGGAAAAGCAGGTGTTTGTTGTCCATCCTCCCATCCTCCTCCTGCTCTTCCCCTGCTCCTCCTCCACTCCCAGGCTTTCTGTACTCAGGCTTTCCTTACTCCATGCTTTGCTCTCTGCTTGTTCTGTTTGCCATCTCCATCTTCTAACCGTCACTTCCTCCTTCCCGGCTCGGGTGGGTGCTGGTGGGGCGGGAGGAAGGACAGGTGGCACCGGGGTCGGTCTGTGTGGGTGGCCTGGATCCGTGGGTACGGCTAGGGTGGAGGAAGGCTCAGGCTCCCAGGTGCACCTGTCCCGTTCTGCTCCCTGGTTTCCAGGAGGGATGAGCCATCAGGGGCTCCTGCTGTTCCACAGAAACACTTCCTGTGAAGGTCCTTTCCYGGGATTCCACCGAGGACAGCTGTGTCCTGGGATAGCTTTTCCTCATGAAAATGTGCCCTAACAGTTCGGGAGCACAATCCTCATGGAAATCGGTGGGATATAGGCCAGGCCCTGGGTGAGCCTCATCCAAGATGACAGCAGGATCCTAGGAATGCTTTTTCCTCTTGTCCTGTCATGGACTCAGCAGTGTCTGCTCCTCTTGCTGTCTCTGACCCAGCCAGTGCGATCCCAGGAATCCTGTCCCCCTGTCGTGCGCTTCCATATGGGAACCACCAGGAAAAGGCTCATTGAAGAAAATCCCAGCAGAAGTTCCCAGCCATTGGTGTTCAGCTCCCAAAATCAGCCCGTGGGTGCCACAGGAATGCATGACGTGCCTGTGTCGGGTGTCCTGGCCTGTCATGTGTCCCTTGGATTGTCCCTGGTGTGGTGGGTGTGTCCAGGGGATGTCTCCAGATGTCCCCAGAGCCTGGCACAGCAGCATGGGCACTGCTGCTGCACTGATGAGCGCTGGTGTCACCAGATCTTCCGTGTGTCCTTCAGGAATATATTCCTGARTTTCAGCTGGAGAGACTGTGCATGAGGAGGGTTAGCTTAGACCGTGGGGATATTTGGGAATTGTGTGCTCATGGCCATCAGCTCCTTCAGGCCCCCCGGATGAGCCCAGAGGGATCAGCAGGGGCTCCAGAGAGGTGGGACTCACGTGGCACCAGCACCTGCTCCAGGGCAGAGGATTCCAGGGAGCAGCCACACCAGGAATGGGGACACGGCCCCCAAATCTCCCGGCTGCAGAGAGAGCAACCCCAGGAGGTGGCACAGTGGYCGTGGTGTCACTGTGGCCCTGCCCAGCTGCTGCTGTCCCCCCTCCTGTGGCACGGGACCAGCTGTCCTGGGATCGGGTTCCCAGCGTCTGCTCTCCGGGCAGAAAATCCTCCTGGAGCAGTGGACAGTTCTCCATCTGCTGTCGTCATTTTCTCCACACGCTGCAGCACCGCAGGATTGCTTTGGTCCCTTCTGGATTGAAAACTCTGCAGAATTTGTGGGAGAGGGAACCACTCTCCGGAGCTCAGCAGGGAAGCCTTGCCCTCTTCACACATCCTTGAAGTCTCCTCAGTTTAAAAAGTTCCTTTTTTGCTGCTTTTGCCACTGTCTTGCCATTTTAAAGGATTTACTTCACTGACCCTCASTTGGACCCCTGTGGGATTGTAGCAACCAGAAGGGTTGGATTGGATTTTATGGGAAAGAAGATTCTTTGGTGGAGTTAGGACACGGAATGTGCGGGGAGCGAGTGTTGCTGTCCCTCCATCCCCAGGCAGGACACACTGGATCCTGCGGGGCTCTCCCACCTCCTGTATGAGCAGAGGCTGCAGTAGGCCCTGCATTCCTGCCAGGATGCCATCCTGCCTGGCCCTGACCCTGGTTCTGACCAGCGCCATTCCCATGCCAAGGCTCTGCCCCACAGCCTCTCTCCTCCTGCCAGGACCCAGAGCCAGCTGCTCCCAGCATCAGGCTGGTATCAACTCCTGTGGACAAAGTCTGCTTTGCTCTCCTAGAAAGGGGCACCTTCCAGGGATTTGTGGAGGAAATGAACCTCTGGAAGTTGGTGTTCAATCCTGGTGGCATCTCAACAGTGACTTAGCACGTGCAGGCAGTGGCTGTTGCCACCTTGCCTGGGAGAGCAGTGTCCAGGCAGGAATTCTCAGCAGGAATTCCCTCTGCAGTAGGGTAAGGCACCAGCCAGAAAACATTAGGGAAGAGCAGGACACTCCTGAATTCCTTAAGGAGGAAAAGAGTTGGAGGTTGTGATGGCAGTGACATTGTGTCTGCAGGTGCTGGCAGYACCCCGAGGTGTCCCAGCCCAGGTGTGTGGGTGTGTCTGTGTTTTGGGACCCCCATGTTCAGCCTGCCCAGTGATCCCAGCTGACAGCCCAGGCCACCGGCCGTGACCATCACTGTCCACAGTGCTGGTGGCCCTGGGAGCTGGGTCGCTGCACACGTGACCCATGGCAGTTGTCTCTCTTGGAGGGGCTCCAGCTGCTCGCTCAGAGCAGCCAGGATTTCACACCGACCGGATTCTTCCATTCTCCCGGCTGCTCCCCCGGGATGTGGCTCCATGCTCRGACATCGGCTGGGCTCGGCTCCGTGTGCGAGGACAAGGACAGTGCCAGCAGTGCCCAGGGCTCTGGGGAAGGGAAGAGCTGAGGTGTTCCGCAGAGCTGGGCTCCTGCTGTGGATCTGTGGCTGTATCCCAGCCATCCACGGGCTCTCGTGATAGCCTTTTGCTCCCTGAATTCCTGTGGAGCTGCTAAACGAAGGCCAGACTTTAAAGCACACTTGTTCCAGTACAAGGAGGATCTTCCCTGGCTGTAGGAGMTCSCCATGCTGTGACAGCCGCGACTCCAGCTCTGTGTGTGCCCACACTTTCTGTGGAGAGCAGTGAGGAGTGGCTTCCTCAGGGTTGGGATTGGGACCAGCACTGGAAACTTCTCCATCAGCGACACGGCTACCGGGATCAGGACAGCCCTGGCACGCTGCTGGTGACACGGAGCGAGTGCTGCAGTCACACGCTGTGGGAAGGGATGGGGCATCCAGAGGGACCTGGACAGGCTGGAGAGGTGGGACCATGACAACCTCGTGGAGTTCAGCAGGGCCAAGGGTGAGGTCCTGCACCTGGGCTGGGGCAATCCCAGTACAAACACGGGGATTCCAGACTGGGAATGGACTRGGAGCAGCCCTGGGGAGAAGSACCTGGGGATTGGTGGGGAGAAGGCCCTGGCCCCAGCCATGAGCACTGGGACCCAAAATTCCTATGCCTGGGCTGCTCCCCCAGCGTGGGCAGCAGGAAAGGGATTGGGATTGTGCCCCATTGCTCTGGTGAGACCCCACCTGCAGAGCTGCTCCAGCCCTGGGGCCCAGCACAGGAAGGACGTGGAGCTGCTGGAGAGAGCCCAGAGGAGGCAGCAGGATGGTCAGAGGGATGGAGCAGCTGTGCTGGGAGGAAAGGCTGGGAGTGCTGGGATTGTTCAGCCTGGACAGGAGAAGCTTTGGGCTGAGCTCAGTGTGGCCTTGCAGGGCCTGAAGGAGCCCACAGGAACCATGGAGAGAGACAATTTCCAAGGGCTGCAAGGACAGGAGCCACGGAATGGCTTCCCAGTGCCAGAGGACAGGGCCAGATGGGATATTGGACAGGAATTGTTCCCTGGGAGGGTGGGCAGGCCCTGGCACAGGGTGCCCAGAGAAGCTGTGGCTGCCCCTGGATCCCTTTGAGTGCCCAAGGCCAGGCTGGACATTGGGGCTGGGAGCAGCCTGGGACAGTGGGAGGTGTCCCTGCCATGGCAGGGGTGGAATGGGATGGTCCTCAAGGTCCTTTCCCTCCCAAACCAGTCTGGGATTYCTGAGTATCTCCCCAATTCTGCCTGGCCATCTCCAAGGTGCCCACTGTTGGGGAAGTGTTTCCTTGTYTTGCCGGTCTCTGTGGCTGCCTCCAGGCTGATGTTGATGTGGCACCGTAGGAGAGGACCTGGGGCGCCCTGTGTGGTGCCAGGCGGGTTTGGTGCCAGGAGCAGAGATTGGGGGGCTCCGGGGCAAGGTCGGCACCTCCCATCTCTTCTCACCCCCCTTTGCTTCTCCTCCCCCTCGCTCTGTTGCTCTCTGCTCGCCTCCCATTCTGCAGCACCTTCCTGTGCATGGGGCAGGGCCGGGGCCCCTCACCCCATCCCGGTGTCCGGGCAGGCTCCGGCCTTGCCGTGGGGTCAGTGGGAAGCACTGGATCTCCCGGCCCGGCAGCCCGGGACCTGCACGGGGGCCAGCACCCATCCGGGCGGGAGGAGCGAGCTGTGACTTGTCATTTCCCCCTTCCTCCTGCCTCCCAGTCTCCTGAGGGGCTCCGGGAGCCCCTCTCGCCCCGTTGGCCGTCACCGGTAGGCACAGGCTGGGCACAAACCACGTGCAGCGGCGGGGCTGGGCATGGCTTGGCATGGGAGCGCCCAGGCTCTAATTCCTGCCCGGGATTAGGGGCTGGCACCGGCCGAGCCCGGAACGGGCCAGGCCGGGCGACCTCGGGGCGGGGGGCACACACGGATGGGGCGAGGGCTGAGGGACCCTCCGGGGAATCGGGGGGACACCGGGGCTGGGGCGAGCTGGGAGCCCTGGGGGAGGAATGAATCTCCATCCTGCTCCGTGCCCTTGCTCCCTTCCCAGCCGCTGGGGCGAGCGGGGCGGGTGGCAGCGGGCACGGCGGTCCCTGTCCCTGGGGGCACACAGAGAGGGGCAGTAGCGGGTGGGCARGGGCTCACTGCAGCCCCGTCCGGGGTCCCCCCGCGCCCCCCGCCCTCAGCCGCTGCCCCGTCCGTGTGTGCGGGGTCGGGCCGGGCCAGCGCGGCACTGACGCCCCTCTCTCTCCACCCTCCCCACCCCAGAGATTTAACTCGCTGCGACTCCGACTCCTCCATCCCGCACCTGAGCGACCACCAGCGTATCCCCAGCTCGGCGCCCAAGCTGCTGGCTGCCCGGCCCACGCTGCTGAGCAGGTCCGTGGAGGAGGCTGTCCCCGGGCCCCCGGCCCCCGGCGCGCCCACCCCCAACGGCGGCAGCCGGCACGGGGAGCCCTCCGCCCTGGCGGCTTTGCAGGAGCGGCTGCCCGAGAGCCCCATGGTGATGAAGAAGATGATGATGGTGAACCACGGCATGGAGAAGTCCTCCAGCCTGGGGGAGATCAGCCACCCGACGGCCGGCAAGCCCAGCCACTCGGATTCGTCCCGGTCGCACAGCCCCAGCTCCACCGACCCCGACACCCCCTCCCCCACCTCTGACTGCCGGCCCAGCGGCGCCAGGAACACCCGCATCCCGCAGCTGGCCGCCAAGAAGAGTCCGGGGGACGAGGACAGCAGCCTGACGGGCGACGAGGTTGACCTCGGCCAGAGCAAGAAAAAGTTCCCCCTAAAGATCTTCAAGAAGCCCAAGAAGTAGGGGGAGGACACCCCCGGACGCGTCCCGCCGGGCCCGGRGCCGGCCGTGCACCGGGAACGCAGCGCGGCCCCGGCACCCTCCGCATCCCGAGTCACCCCAGCGCCGGCACGGGAGGAGCTATTTAAACTTATTTATTTCCTGTTCTCCGAGACAAAAAACCGCGACGCCGCCGGCTCCCCGGGAGAAGAGCCGCCCCTGCTCTCCCCTCCGACCGCTGCGGTCCCGGCTTTGCTGTGCATGGCTTCCAGTTACTCCTGCTCTGCTCAGCCACGCGGCCTTTGGGTTTGGTTTCAATGTGGTTTTATTTTTTTATTTTGTTTTTTATCGTTGTTGTTATTAATTTGTTTTTCTGCCTCCTCCAACTTTTGCACAGGCTGATGGAGGGTCGGGGCGGCGCCGGCTGCTCCTCGCTCCCCGCCCGGGGTGACTCGGCTCGCAGCGGTTCTCCCTCATTTCTCCGAGTCACTTTTCCACCCCGGCCCCCACRGCTACGCCCCTGGGAGGGGGATCCCCTCCTGAGCAGCTCTCACTCTGCAGGAGCAGGGGTGGACTCTGTCCTTGGCGGTACTTGTGTGCTCCCGGCCCCCATGTCCTGCCCGGGGGCTGGCGAAGGTTGGGATGCCCGGCGGGAGGAGCCCACGCCTGTCCCTGCCTTCCCTTCCCCGGGCACCTTCCCCAGTCCCCYGGACTCCTCCGAACCCGCCGTGCCTCGAGGACCCGGCTGAGGACCCTGGTGACCCTGGTGACAAGGGACAGTGAGGGGAGGGCCAGGAGGCAGCTGGAGGGAGGGAGCAGGATACGGCAGGGCTCTCCAGGGCAGGGGCCAGGCTGTCCCTGGGTGGCAGGACCCCGAGTGTCCTCCTGCTGTCCTGGGGCGGGCCGGGTGCTGGGCTCTGTGCCCTCCCAAGGGACAGGGGGCTCCACAGGCCGTGTCCTCCTGTCCTGCGGCCTCACGCTGGGGTGTCCCTGGCTGTGCCAGCCTGTGCCCAGTGCTGACACAGCCTGACCTGGTCTCAGTCCAGCCTGAGCCACCCGCAGGGGCTCTCCTGTTCTCCCTCAACACATTGTGGGTCACTCCTGCGGCTCACAGCTCTCGGCACTCTGTGTCCCCCATTGCAGACCCAGCCACTGAGGGAGTCTCCACTCAGGGCTGAGTCCCACTCCCTCCAAGGGCCAAGCTTGTCCCAAGGGATGAGCCCTGCTCCATCCTGAGGGATGAGTCTCGCTCCATCCCTGGGCGYGGCTCCATCCCTGAGCCCTGCTCCATCCCTGGGCCCGCTCCATCCCCAGGGCTGAGCCCTGTTCCAGTGGTTGAGCCTCTCTCCATTGCCTTGCTCCCTTCCCAGCTCCCTCCAGGAGCATCCCCCCTCACCAGGGGAGCCCCCAAACCCCCTCCTGCCCCACTCGAGGTGGCTCTCTGGCACCACCACGTGACCCCCCAGCCCAGGGTCCTTGTCCCCACCACCCCCTCTGTCCCCAGCCCCAAACCACGGTCCCACACATCCCCGGGGGKGGGAAGTGGGCTGCTCCTGCCGAGGTAGAGGAGGACACACGATGTGGGGAGGAAGAGGAGGCTGGGCTGGATGCCGAGAGCCCCCGGGGCCTTGCTTTATTGCCAGAGTAATATATTTGTGTCTTGACAATTCAGGAAGGGCTACAAAGGTGTTTTTTGTTCCGTAGGTGGGAGTTAAACAATTTCACTGTTGCTTTGGGATAAGTGAAAAATTCCTCTCAATGACTTAAGTGCCTGCATTTCCCTGGGGACGGGGGGACACGTTCGTCCCCGTGGCCAGGGCTGCTGCCCGGGCACCTCGATTCCCTGGGCACCCCAATTCCCTGGCACCTCAATTCCCTGGGCACCCTGGTTCCGTGGGCACCCTGCTGTCACGGGAGTGGGGCCGGTGGGGTCAGGGCTGGAGCTGCTTGTGGTGGCGGAGACCTGTGGATGCTTCTGGAGAAGGGGTTGGGGATCCACCAAACAACAACTGTTGACGCATCTGCCAACTCTTGATTTAAGGTTGTTTTTTTTTTTTTTGGTCATTTCATAAAACTTTTCAATCCAATAAAGCATGTAGTCTATTTTACGAGCCGCCGGCTGCTGCCCTCTTCTTCCAGCCCTTTGCAGGCTCCAGCACAGTGGGATTGGGGCATTGGGATCTGCTGCTGTCCTTCCAGCCCTTCCCAGGCTCCCAGCACAGTAGGATCAGATCAGATCATTGGGATCTGCTGCTGTCCTTCCAGCCCTTCCCAGGCTCCCAGCACAGTAGGATCAGATCAGATCATTGGGATCTGCTGCTCTCCTTCCAGCCCTTCCCAGGCTCCCAGCACGGTGGGATTGGGGCATTGGGTGCCTGCTGGGGGTGAGGGGTTCCCTGAGGATGTGCCCCCAGCCAGGTCAATGGGGACAGAGGCACCAAGGCCCTGCAATCCTGAGCTCTGAGCAGAGTCCTCCCCCATGGGAATGGGATCACAGCTCCACAGGCACAGTGGGCACCTCCCCACTCATGGCCACGGGCCATGGAGCTTTCTTGGCAGCAGCTGGAGCTGGCCCCAAGCTGACCTGGGAGGCACCGGTGGGGCTGGATCCATCCCAGGGTCATCCTGTCATTGCCACTGGCAGCCTGGGACAGGGACACGCAGCCACCCCCAAACTGCTCCAAGAGATGTGACAACTCCGTGGGCAGCGGGTCCTGCTCACAGAGTCCCCRGAAACACTTCGAGGTGCAGGACATTTCCAGGAAAAAGAATTAAATCCACACTGGGATGGGTGGTTGGCATCTGCCAGGCTGTGGGATGGTACAAGGGGAGCCATCTGGCCCCAGATCTGGCCCTGGCAGATCCCGGTGTTTCCAATGCACTGACATCTCCATTTCCACATTCCTTGTCTCACCAGCAGCCCTCTCTGAGGAGATCCTGCTCCCTGCAGCCTCCACCTGGCCACATTTATACTGGAAAAGCACATTTTCTSTCTGCCATTCCCACGGCAAAGCTCTGGCACAGCCTTCGGGGTTCATTCAGACCCCACAGCCCCTGGGACTGTGTTCTTGTTATCCTGGCGCTCATTAGCGCTCATTAGCACCCGTTAGGGCCGGCTGCCTCCACGTGTGCATCCAGGGAATCCAGRGCTCAGGGCACCTGCTCCGGCGGTGGCACCAGTGTGCCCCTGCCATGCCGGGCGCTGGGAATCACTCTGTCCCCACCTCATTGTCACCATTGTCGCAGTCAGTCCCTGTTCCCAGTCCCTTCCCTGGAAATGCCACATAGCCCAGTAGGAGCAGGCACAGTGGGGTGGGTTTTCTGGGAGCMAGACTGTCACCGCCTCGCCCCAGCTCAGCCTCGGCAGCAGCAGCAGCTGGAAGAGCTCAAAGCCGGGATTTCTCCCACAGTCCAGGCACTGAGTCATTTTCTGCTTCTGTGAGCTTTTCCTCCTCCGTTCATCTGCATCTTCAAAGGAGGCTGAGGCACACTCCTGAGCCTCTTCTGCTTCTTTTTAGGGGAATTTCTTCCTGGGAAGGGTGCTCAGGCCTTGGCAGGGGCTGCCCAGGGAGCTTTGGAGTCCCCATCCCTGGAGGTGTCCCAGGAAGGGCTGGAGGTGGCACTGAGTGCTCTGGGCTGGGGACAAGGTGGGCATCGGGCACAGCTGGCACTCCATGGGCTGGGAGGGCTTTTCCACCCTCAGGGATTTTGGGATTCTGTGAAGATCCCTTGGAGCTGTTGGTGTCCCTCCTGCTGTCCCTCCTGCCCTCCCCTGGCCCAGCCTGAGGCCGTTCCCTCTCCTCCTGTCCCTGTTCCCTGCGAGCAGAGCTGACTCCCCCGGCTGCCCCCTCCTGTCAGGGAGCTGGGGACAGGGACAATGTCCCCATGTCCTTGTGGAGACAGGAGCGAGCGCAGGGCCTTGCTGGCCCCAGAGGCCCGTCCAGGACAGGGGGGTGGCGGTGGGGYTGTGCCAGCCCTCAGGAAGTTGTTGCAATGGCTGCGTTTCCTGCCCAGGGCCCTCAGCAGCGCAGGTCCCACAGAAGCAGCTCCATGGGTTGGCTCTGCACCCTCGGCCTCATGAGTGAAACAACTGCTCCACCTACTCTTGGTTTCAGAAAAGGGGAGTAAAACCCAGAGGAGAAGAATTCAAGGGCAAAGATCTGTGAGTGCAGCTCAGGCTCCAACCAGGCCAAAATACCATTTGGGATTATTTTCCTTCTGTAGGCCCTTTTCCAGTAAAACAGAGACACCACCCCAACTTTATTCCCATTTCTTGATCAGTCCCAAACATCCCCATCTTTGAGGGGAGGGCTCTCTGGGCTCTGTCTGAGCAGTACCGGGCTCACCTGGTGCATTGGGCACGTTCCCCATCAACCTGGGGCCAAGGAACGCACAAAGTCATTTTGGCTCGGAATCCACATGGACCCAAACCCTCACCCGGGAACAGAGAGTGGCCCATTCACAAGCAACAAAAAAATGAATTTGCTGCACCTTTGAACCCTGGGATCTCTCTCTGAGCCTCACAGGATCAACCCAAGTGTAATGTGCATGTTGAGGGTTAATTGTTCTCTCGCTGTTCAAACCCCAAAATTTCCGGTGTGGTGCCGTATTTGGCTCCACTTCCTGTTGCCCCCAAAGTGGGAGCGGCTCAGCCTAACCCTGCAGGTGGGATCTGGGGGAAGAGGCACCTCACAGACTGCAAACCCCAAAAATGAGACATTCACCTGCGACTTAGGACTCCTGCCACAGCTCACAGCTCCCAAGACATTCAGAATTGGATAGAGAGGAACTGGTGGTATTTGGGGTTGGATTCTGCACAGGAACCTCAGCAGTGCTTTGGTGCTGATGCCCYTCAGCCCTCATGGGACTTGTAGAATCATGGAATGGTTTGGGAGTGATCCTACATCCCATCCAGTGCCAGCCCAGCCATGGCAGGGACACCTCCCACTGTCCCAGKCTGCTCCCAGCCCCAATGTCCAGCCTGGCCTTGGGCACTCAAAGGGATCCAGGGGCAGCCACAGCTTCTCTGGGCACCCTGTGCCAGGGCCTGCCCACCCTCCCAGGGAACAATTCCTGCCCAGTATCCCATCTGGCCCTGCCCTCTGGCACTGGGAAGCCATTCCCTGGCTCCTGTCCCTCCAGCCCTTGTTCCCAGTCCTTCTCCAGCTCTCCTGGAGCCTCTTCAGGCCCTGGCAGGGACTCTGAGCTCTCCCTGGATCCTTCCCTTCCCCAGGGGAGCACCCCCAGCTGTCTCTGGCTMCAGAGRGGCTCCAGCCCTGCAGCAGYTCCGTGTCCCTTCTGGGCTCTCTCCAGCAGCTCCACGTCCCTGTGCTGGGCCCCAGGGCTGGAGCAGCTCTGCAGGTGCACATTTGCTGCTTTTGAATTTGGACCAGAACTCAATTCCTTAATTAACTGTAACTTCAGCTCTTTCCCTGCTGCTCCTCTCACGCTGGGCCAGAGACCGATGGCACCGCCGTTGTTCCACAGCGGAGCCTCATACCATTCCTGTCCAGGTTTTCCTTGGACAGCTCAGGGGATGGGTACTCCACCACCTCTCTGGGCATTGGGATCCAAAGTTTCAGCACACATTTCATGCCTGGGTCTTGATTTAGGGTAATTAGAATTAACATAGTTATTATTTTGGCATTTTAGGACGAGCGTGTTTTGTCCCTTCGCGGTCTCCGTCCTTGGCGCCCTCGGCCCGTCCTGTCCCTCCCGTCTCCTCCCCCGGCGGGGGGGGGAGGGCTGGTGCCGCCATCTTTGAAGCGGGCGGGATTCGCGGCGTTCCCCGGCGGGGCGGCGATTCCCGGGAGCAAAGCGGGAGAATATCGAGATGAGGGACGGGATTAGTGTCCRTCAGGGGCCACAGCCATCGCCGGGTCTCTAGTGGATGGGGAACGGGGCGAAGGAGGGAGCCGTGCCCGCAGCCAAGATGGCGGCAGCGGCCTCAGCGGGGCGGGGCAGGCGCGGCGGGCGCGGGAAGCGGCGGGCGCGGAGCAGCCGGAGGCACCGAGAGGCACCGAGAGRGGCTCGCCGCCGCCATGCACGTCGTGAAGCGGGGTGAGCGCTTCCCCCGCCCWAGGGGCGCCGGCGGGACGGGGAGAGGGCGCCTCTGGGCTACCGAGTGTCGGGGAGGGGGGCAGTCTCCTGCTCAGGGTRCCCGTGGCACCCTTCGGCTTTGGTGGTGGCACCTGGAGGGGAATTTCCCCTCTGTTCTGGGGTTCCCTCGTGGCACACGGAAGGCTGGGATTCCCTGTGCTTTGGGGGTCCCTTGCATGGCTCCCAAGGTAAGCGAGTGGGAATCCCTCCATTTTGGAAGGTCCCTCATAGCACGTTGAGGAACGGGACCCCCTCAGCTTTGGGGATCCCTCATGRCACCCATAGAGAGCAGATGGGGTGTGCCCCTCTCTTTTAGGAGAGTCTTGCATGGAAGGATGGGATCCCCTCTGCTCTGAAGGCCCCTTATGGCACCTGGTGTRAGGAGATGGGCTCCCCTGAGCTTTGGGAGGAGCTCAGAGTGAGAGAGCTCCCCCCGGGCCACCAGAGTGAGGGATGAGCCCTCTCCGTTCGTTTTGGGTCCCGTGGAGGAGCTTTGGGCTTGGTCCCCACCCCTTTGGTCCTAGGGATGCTGGGCCAGGGGAGGGGTCCCCAGCCCGAGCTCGGGGGTGACCCTCAAACTGGGTTTGTGCAGTTTTRGGTGGGAATTGTTGGGGTGGAGGGGGAGCCTCTCTTCTCCCTGTGCCCCACCTGAGCAGGCTGTCCCTGGTGATTCCCACGCCAAATTCCCCTGTGGGAGGGTCGGGGAGGGGGCATTCTGTGCTGGACTGGTCCTTACTGGTRTGGCACTGGAGTGAGGTGGTCTCTGTCCCCAGATGGGCGCCAGGAGCGAGTCATGTTTGACAAGATCACGTCGCGGATCCAGAAGCTCTGCTATGGCCTCAACGCCGACTTCGTGGATCCCGTGAGTTCCACTCTTCCCTCTTCCTACCCTGACCCCGATTTCTCCTGGGCAGAAGCCAAGTGGAAACCTGGGCAGGAATTCCCRGGTGTCCCATGTTGGATTCGAGGATTCCTGTGGGTCCCTTCCCCCTCAGGATGTTCTGTGATTCCATGAACTCTTGGCAAACACGTTCAGAATATGTTTGTTCCAGTTGTTTGTGTTCTGAGGGGTTTTGCTTCCCAGGTGCAGAGACGGTGGAGGGGAAGGTCCCCATTTCCTGGGGTAGATCCCTTTCCCCTCAAACCCTGGTGGAGTCACTGAGCCTCTGGTACTTAAAAAAAAAAAAAAGTTTTGTTGCTCCAATTCCCATATTTTAGATTTGGCAGGTTAATCCCAGTGTCAGTCTGCTAAGCTGGAGCAATGCCATATGGAAGTAGCTCTGGGTCCCCTTCTGGTCTAACACCAGGACAGAATTCCCTGCCCTTGCAACATCTCTGMTTGGTTTTCTGAGCTGTGCAGCATTTGGGGTGGGCATTGATCCCACTCATGGAAGCTTATCCTTCCAAAGCCTGTGTTCGGGATGACTCCCCCTTGGTTCCACTGATGTCTGTGAGATTTTTTGTGCAGGTCTCAGACCCAGTCTGGCCATTTGGAGTCACCAKTTGCGGCTCTTCCCATCTCTCAAGTTCTCACAGGCCATTTTCCTGTCTGAAATTCCACGTGGCAAACAGTTACCATTGCTGCTGTACCCAAAAGTCTTTGGGATGGAGAATAGCAGGAGGACATTGGTGACTTGGTGACCAGAGCACAAAGTGTCCTGACTTGCCCTGAGTGAGTGGGAGCTGATGCTAAGGACAGGAGTGAAATTCCAAGTCCTCCTGCCTCCTCGTGCCCCTGAAYTCTTACTTACTCTGCAGTTGTGTATGACCTCTTTTCCTGGAGCTCAGTTTCTCCTTTGGGACTTGGATCTGCTTGTGCCAGAAGCTTCCTAGGTCAACAGTAACCATCCCAAACCCTGTGCTGACATTCCCAGTRAGGCTGTAAATGGCACAACTTGTGCAAAAGTAACAACTGTTCACAAAGGTTCTGGTGTGGCCTGGTCAATCCTGTTGTGTGGAAGCCATCCTTACACAGAATCCCAGAAGGATTTGGGTTGGAAGGAACTTTTGAGCCCATCTTGTTCCGTTCCCTGCCATGGCAGGGACACCTCCCACTGTCCCAGCTGCTCCCAGCTCCAATGTCCAGCCTGGCCTTGGGCACTCAAAGGGATCCAGGGGCAGCCACAGCTTCTCTGGGCACCCTGTACCAGGGCCTGCCCACCCTCCCAGGGAACAATTCCTGCCCAATATCCCATGTGGCCTTGCCCCCTGGCTGTGGGACTGTCCCTCCATCCCTTGTCCTCAGTCCTTCTCCAGGTGAGCATTCCCAGCTCTCCCAGTCTGGTGTTTCTGTTGGCGTTCCTCTTCACGCACAGTGAGCGGTGCTGCTGGGAGTGAGACCCCTCTTCCCCAGCTGAAACAGAAGGATTGGGGTCCCTGACCTCAGGCATTTCCCTCTGACAGGCACAGATCACCATGAAGGTGATCCAGGGGCTGTACAGTGGGGTCACCACGGTGGAGCTGGACACTCTGGCTGCAGAGACGGCGGCCACGCTGACCACCAAGCACCCCGACTACGCCATCCTGGCCGCCCGCATCGCCGTGTCCAACCTGCACAAGGAGACCAAGAAAGTCTTCAGTGGTGGGTGAACTCCTCCAGCTGCTGGGGGGAGAGACACAGTGGGAGGCTTGGAGCACAGAAATAGGGAAATCTCTAAAGTGGGAGTTGCTGAGGACCCAGGCTGGCTGAAAATGCCATGGAGATGAAACCCACGAGTTTCCCAAGGCAAACGGAATTGCCTGGTTTATGAAAAGCAGCTGCAGAAATGGAGTGGTGAAAAATGTGATGGATTGAGATGGGGTTGTATGCACTTCCCTCCCCATTTGTTATTTGTTACAATGGGGCTTTAACAGAATTTGTAAGAGAAGTGCATTGTTGAGGTTCACAGTGCTGAGCAGTAGCTGAGCAGTTGTGCTTGAGGGGCTGGAGGGGKTTTTTTCTGAGGATGGGCATTGCTGCCTCTTCCATCCCTGAATCCCAGTGCCAGGTACAGGCCTGCACATGTCCTGTTCAYGTCTCTTCCCACTGCAGATGTGATGGAGGATCTCTACAACTACATCAACCCTCACAATGGGAAGCACTCCCCAATGATCTCCAAAGAAACTCTAGACATAGTTTTGGCCAACAAAGATGTAAGTAGTGGGKTTTTTTTACTTCTCAACTGAATTTTGAAGACTTAATTTGTTTTTCTTATTTTTTAAGCAAGCCATGTTTGTTTTAGGATAAAAAGCCAACACAGAAACCAGTGCAGGGCATGAGTGGAGAGTTTAAGAGGGGATGGAGGTGTTTACTTCCTGTAAGGATGTTTTTGTAGTAGAATTTGTTTTCTTGGATGTTCCTATTGCCATGATCAGCACAAGTAATTAATTGGAGAAAAAGTACCTTGTGCTGGAGCAAAGTGAGGCAGCACAGGAGGGAGAAAGGAGATCTGGGCTCAGGTTCCGAAGGTCTGTATTCCTTCTGGGACCTTCCGTTTGTCCTTTGGTTCTGTGTTTTGGGTGTCCAATTAGATTTCAATCAATTCAGCCAAAAACCGAGTGAGAAAAGGTTGTTGAGGCTATGCTTTTGTTGTTTTGAGGGTAGTGTTGCTCCCGCTCCATTCCTGTGCTCTGGTGCCCCTTTCAGTAGAGCTTTGAGGCCAGGAGTGCCCGACAGGGGTAACATTGTTACACCCTGTAAAACTCAATTTTGTTATTTCCTGCCAGCGCCTCAACTCTGCCATCATCTACGACAGAGACTTCTCCTACAACTACTTTGGTTTTAAGGTAAGGAGCTCCTGAGTCTCTTGAGAAGGATGGGAATGCTTGTGGAATCATCTGGATTGGGGCAAAGCGGGGCACAGGAGGAGGTGGGACATCCTTGGGGCTGTGGAGATGAAGGGTACCTGCACAAAGCCCAATGGGATGAGTTGTGGAGTTTTTCTTGCTGCTGGAATATTTTAACTGTTGGGCTCAGTTTCACAGCAGATCACACTGAATGCTGGTGCATGCCATTCCTAAAGGAAATAATCTGATCTTTACTAAACCAAAAGGATTTTTGCTTTTCCCAGTGTTTAGTGGAGCAGTTGCTCRCTAACAGGTTTATCCTCTCTCATCTGCTGGAACCATCTCCCCATACCCCAGGGGCTGCTCTGCTGCTCTCACATGCAGCTCGGCTGTGCTGCATTGCTTTGGGTCTGACTCAGGTGTAGGGCTCTCTGGAGGGTTCCACTGTTCCATAGCTCTGGGGACTCCAGATGGATCAGAAGGATGTGGTTCAGGAGCAGTGTGGAACCTCCTGCCCATGCTCCACACTCCATAATCCAAAGCAGTGTTGGAATCTTCCAGTGGATTTGTGTATTTGCAGTCATTAATAACCTAATTAAGATAATAAAAAGAGGAGGAGCAGAGTGAAGGGGTCGTGAAGCCTGAGATGAGGGGTGTGGAGATTATTGGGTTTAGAGTTTTTATTTAGGTTTAGGGTTTTTTAAAAAATTCAAATCTGCCTGTCTGCTAAAGTCCTTCCTGTCTTTTAAAGACTCTGGAACGCTCCTACTTGCTGAAAATCAACTCCAAAGGTAAGAGCTGATCTAGTGCTGAACACTTCTTAAGAAATCAATTAATTAATTAAATGAATTAATTTACATTAAAGCTAAGTTTAGGTACTGTGCTGTCAGTGATGCAGGCCCTTGGCTGGGAAATCCTGGGATACCAGAAGGTTAATTATGATATCCTGAAGCTGAAACATGCTTAGATTCTGGACTGGATGTTTGTTGTATTTTAACTGTTAATATAGGTGGGGGTTTTTACTTCCTTCATGAGAGCAGTTGAGCATTGGAACAGGTTGTTCCCTGAGTTTTTCAAAGCCTGAAGGGATAAACAATCCTGGTGCTCTTTGAGCAGGAGTTTGGTTTGGYGAACTCCTCAAGTTCCTTCCAATCTGAATCACTCTGTGATTCCATGAAAACTCTGGCTCCCAAGTTCCCATTGCACATCTGGGCTGATCCCCAGCRCGGGCAGCAGGGRAAGGATTGGGATTGTGCCCCTGTGCCCCATTGCTCAGGTGAGACCCCACCTGCAGAGCTGCTCCAGCCCTGGGGCCCAGCACAGGAAGGACGTGGAGCTGCTGGAGAGACCCCAGAGGAGGCAGCAGGATGSTCAGAGGGATGGAGCAGCTGTGCTGGGAGAAAAGGCTGGGAGAGCTGGGATTGTTCAGCCTGGACAGGAGAAGCTTTGGGCTGAGCTCAGTGTGGCCTTGCAGGGCCTGAAGAAGCCCACAGGAACCATGGAGAGAGACAATTTCCAAGGGCTGCAGGGACAGGAGCCAGGGAATGGCTTTAAACTGTAGGAAGGCAGGATTTTATGGGATACTCAAAATAAATTGTTCCCTGGGAGGGTGGGCAGGCCCTGGCACAGGGTGCCCAGAGAAGCTGTGGCTGCCCCTGGATCCCTTTGAGTGCCCAAGGCCAGGCTGGACATTGGGGCTGGGAGCAGCCTGGGACAGTGGGAGGTGTCCCTGCCATGGCAGGGGTGGAACTGGATGATGTTTAAGGTCCCTCCAACCCAGCCCAGTGTGGAATTCCATGACTGTGTTCACTGCAGTTGCTGAGCGTCCCCAGCACATGCTGATGAGGGTGTCCGTGGGCATCCACAAGGCCGACATCGACGCTGCCATCGAGACCTACAACCTGCTCTCGGAGCGCTGGTTCACCCACGCCTCGCCCACGCTCTTCAACGCGGGCACCAACCGCCCCCAGCTCTCCAGGTGCTTTCCATCTCCTTAATGCATTGCTGGGCTAAGGGAAAGGCTTRGGGATCACATCTGCTCAACTGAGTCTCTTGCACAGCCTCTGAAATGAGCAGCTGAGCTTCTGTGTGTGTTTTATGAAGTTTTGAGCAGCTGCTCTCAAGTCTATCTGTCTTTGGGGAAAAATACTCAGGTTTCTGTAAACTAGAGATAATGGAAACCTTTGCATGGCTGTGTTGTATTGGCAAGTTCCTAATGTGTATGGTCTGCTGCAGGTTACCAGAGGAATACTGGTAACTGTTTTTTAAAAACAGCAAGCATGACTGATAGGTTTTTGATTAATCATATACATCAGGAAAAGRTTTGTATTTTACAAAAGTTTGTATCAATGTATTGGGAAAAGGTTCTTCCCCCAGATGTGGTGGAGCACTGAAAAGGCTTCCCAGGGAATGGTCCTGGCCTCAAGGCTGCCAGAGCTCCAGGAGCGTTGGGACAATGCTCCCAGGGATGCCTAAGGTGGGATTGTGCAGGACCAGGAATTGGCCTCTGATCCTTGTGGGTCCCTTCTAACTCAGGATATTCCACAATTCCATGATTAAAAGTGTTTGGTAACAAASGTATCGGCAGTTACAAGATTGCTTGTGATGTTTTCTGGAGCTGYCCTTTGTTCCACACCTCTGGGTTTGCTTTGTGCAGCACATTATGGGATCCATGTTTGCCCTGGTTTTTGCAGCCTGGTGAAACACTTGCAACTTTTCCTTCCCAACTTTGTTCACTGAAACCGTTTGTTTCCTTCAGCTGCTTCCTGCTGTGCATGAAGGATGACAGCATCGAGGGCATTTATGACACCCTGAAGCAGTGTGCCCTCATCTCCAAGTCTGCTGGGGGCATTGGCCTYGCCGTGAGCTGCATCCGTGCCACGGGCAGCTACATTGCTGGGGTGAGTGTCCAGCACAGGCAGCTGCTGCTGCTCCCAGGAAATGCCTTCACCTCGGCTGCCAAACCAGTGCTGCTTCTCACTCAGTTCACACAGCAGTGAGCCTCCCTCAGTAGTCCCTTGGCCTAAGGCAGGAAGGTTGGTTTTCCTCACTGTTTTGCYTTCCTAATAGAAATCCTTCTTTCTTTAGAAATAAAGAGGATCTTATTCCACTGTTTGGTCACACAATTCCAATATTTATATATTAGCAGCCTAGGAATATGTCCAGACACTTGTGCACTAGCCCTTTGTCTCTAATTGCCCCAGACCATCTGGGTGCACATTTGGGGTTTCTTGTGTAACCCCTGCAAGCCTTTAGGTGGCATAATGTAGGGGAAGGAAGTTAGGAGGGACATTTTATTAACTCTGGGGCACGTAGCTGATACCTACATTTTTGTCCGAAAAAATGTGGGGAAGAAACTAGAAATAACTGGTGGTGATCCATATAAGAGCTCTGCAGACTTAGGAAAGATGCAGAGGAAATGCAGGCCAGCCCCTGCAGGGAGTTGCTTTTCAGCACTGATGGTTTTCCTGTGCCTCTGCAGACAAACGGGAATTCCAATGGGCTCGTTCCAATGCTGAGGGTCTACAACAACACTGCCCGTTACGTGGATCAAGGTGGAAACAAGGTACCTCTAATGGGGATCTAGAAGGGAATCTCAGATCATGAGAGAGTTCCACACTGGAAAGGGTTGTCCCATGGACATCAGGGAGCTAATGGAATGGTTGTTGGTGACACATCAGCAAAAAAGGGCATTTTCCCCCTTATGCTGGTGTCTGGTTTCCCTCGTATCCCAGTTCCCAGTTGCTTTGGGGTGTTGTGTGCACTCAGCAGCAGGACAGTTTTCTCTGATGCAGATTGTGTTCCATGTCCCAGAGACCTGGAGCTTTTGCCATCTACCTGGAGCCGTGGCACCTGGATATCTTTGAGTTCCTGGACTTAAAGAAAAACACTGGGAAAGAAGAGCAGCGAGCCAGAGACCTGTTCTTTGCCCTCTGGATCCCTGATCTCTTCATGAAACGAGTGGAAACCAACCAGGTGAGAAGCTTGGCTGGCACAGAACAGGTCTGGTAGTGGAGGAGCAGGTGAGCAGCCCTGCAAGTAGCTCAGGAAGGGCTGCAGAGCTGCTTTGCTTTCCAGACCTTCCTGGAGGAGCTGCTGTGCCTTGTTTGAGAACTTGTCTGTGCAGGTAGAGAACGGAGCTGAACAACTCCAGTGGGATGCTTTGCTTCAGGGCTTACCCTTACAGCCCATGATGTGGCCTTGGACTGTTGGCATAATTTTTGCTTGGAGTTTCCTTAAAGCATCAACATTTTCTCAATTAATTGTTCTTCCTTTGCCTGCTTGTATTTCACAGAAGCCCAGACTGGTTTGGCTTGGCAGGAACCTTAAATCCCATCCAGTCCCACCCACTGCCATGGGCAGGGACACCTTCCACTGTCCCAGGGTGCCAACCTCGTCCAGCCTGGCCTTGGACACTTCCAGGGATGGKGCAGCTGTAGCTTTAATTACAGAGTGCCTGAAGATTTCCTCTGAATGTTTTTCCTTCTTACAGGACTGGTCCTTAATGTGTCCAAATGAGTGTCCTGGCCTGGATGATGTCTGGGGGGAGGAATTTGAGAAGCTTTATGAGAGGTAAGAAGAGTCTCAAATCTRTAAGTGGTGCCTTCCTCTGCCAGAACTGTCCGTGTCCTCTGGGATCTGGGACCACGGCAGAGGCCGTGGGGAGACTCTGAAGTGGCCACTGAGCTCATGGTCAGATTGATGAAAATGTGAGGATGGGGATGTGTCCTTCCCACTGTGACCTGTCAGGGTGGAGCTGTGTGTGAACGATGACTTTAGCCTGTCAGAGGACATAATGGAGTGATCCCTGCTCAAAGCACTCCAGGGCCATGTGTGGAATTGCTCTGTGGCTGCTGTAGTGAAAGATTCATTTCCCTCAGACAAGGACAGTGCTGCTGCCCTGCTCTGAGGGTTCCCCGTGCTCGTTCAGAGCCCAGCAGTGAGGAGGACCTTGGCTGCCCCCGATCCTGAGGAGTTAAAAGGATCCTTTCCCAGCTTTTGGGGGGCTCTGGGGCTGACAGGGCTCTATGTGTGTTGCAGTTATGAACGGCAGGGCCGCGTGCGCAGGGTGGTGAAGGCCCAGCAGCTCTGGTACGCCATCATCGAGTCCCAGACCGAGACTGGCACCCCCTACATGCTCTACAAGGATTCCTGCAACAGGAAGAGCAACCAGCAGAACCTGGGCACCATYAAGTGCAGCAACCTGTGCACCGAGATCGTGGAATATACCAGCAAGGAGGAGGTGAGCAAAGGGAGCAAACGGGAGCTCAGAGCTTTGGGGGAACCTGGGAGTTCTCCCATGGCAGCTCTCTGGAATACATCTGACTCTGGCTTGGGGAAGGGAAGGRGCAGCTGAGAAACTTCTGACCTGAGTACTCAGGTCTCCTTCAGTACACAGCTCTCCCACTACTCTATGGAAGAGCTCTGTGGGTTCCCTTCCCACTCCCACGGAGAATTTGGGATGATACAAGACATCCATCAAAGAGAAGATGACAAGGAACAAGATGGGCTTGAAAGTTCTTTCCAACACAGACCCTTGTGGGATTCTGTGTAAGGATGGTTTCCAGGCAGTAGGAGTTACCAGGCAGGATTTTTCTGGTAATACAAATTTCTGCTGAACTTTCCTGAGCTGTTGTTCCCTTTTGCACAACTCCTGAAGCATCCCAGGATCAAGGGGTGCATTTTCCCAGCCTGACAGGTTCCCTGGTGGGTTGTTTCTGTGCAGTTTGGACAGAAAGCTGCTGTGGAGCTGTGCTCTGTGCTCTTGGTCAGGGGTGTTGCTGCATTCCCGATTGATTCCCTGTCCCTGCCTGCAGGTGGCCGTGTGTAACCTGGCCTCCATCGCCCTGAACATGTACGTGACACCTGAGCACACCTACGACTTCAAGAAGCTGGCAGAGGTCACCAAGGTCATTGTCCGAAATCTCAACAAAATCATTGACATCAACTACTACCCCGTGCCAGAGGTGAGTGCTGGGCTGGGGCAGGGCTGAATCCTGCCTGGAGCCATCCCAGAGCAGGCTGTGACACAAGAGATCACAGGGGAACTCCACAGACCTGTTGGGAACTCCATGAAGCATCTGTTGTCAAGTGGAACCTGTCAGTGCCTTCCTGAGCTTCATCCCAGGGTGGTTCCGTAGTGAAGCAGCAAAAGCCTCCCACTGAGAGGGGTTCTTCTGTTAGAATTTTATCATGTGTGAGGATTTCCATAAAGCACAGACCAACACTAGGAACAGAATGGGAAGTGGAACAGAGAGACGGATCCTGGAAAGATCCTGAGAAGATGTAATTCACTTTGGTTTTATAACTCCCTGACACAAGGGTGCAGCTCTGGCTCTGCTCCCAGGGAGCAACRGACAGGACAAGAGGAGATGGCCTTGACCTGTGCCAGGGGAGGTTTTAGTTGAACATTAGGAAAATTTTCTTAATGGGAAAGGGCTGGCACAGACTGCCCAGGGCAGTGGTGAAGTCCTCATCCCTGAGAGGGAATTAACATCTATGTRGATGTGGTATTTGGGAACATGAGTCAGTGTTGGACTTGGTGGGCTCAGAGGGATTTTCCAACCTTAGTGCTTCTGTGATGCTACTCTATTAAATGTCTTCATTTATCAGAACATGCTGAGTGTTCACTTCTAAATCCTGGCTCCCTTTGCTAGGGTAAACAATCACAATCTGTGTTAAATTCTAATAAACTCAGTCGGGGCCCCCAGCAAACAGTAAGCAGTGAGGCCCTGGGCAGGATGGAARGTCTGTTGGTGCAGAGCTCATGGCACATTGCAGCAGGAGGTTTTGCTCCCAGAGGCCTTTTCCAGCCAGGTGTCTCCYCAAGCTGTGCTGCAGGTAACTCGTGTCCGTGCTGTCCTCGCAGGCCCAGCGCTCCAACCACCGGCACCGCCCTATTGGCATTGGTGTGCAGGGCCTGGCCGATGCCTTCATCCTCATGAGGTTCCCCTTCGAGAGCACCGAGGCCCAGCGCCTCAACCAGCACATCTTTGAGACCATTTACTACGGGGCCCTGGAGGCCAGCTGCGAGCTGGCCAGGGAGCAGGGCCCCTACGAAACCTACGAGGGCTCTCCGGTCAGCAAGGGGGTGAGTGCAGGGACTGYGCCTGGGAAAAGCTCTGGGAAGCTGATCCTGTGCCTGGGCTGCTGCACAGACCCAAAGGCTCCTGGRTGATGCCAAGTGGGATCTGAGTCAGCAGTGCCCTGGAGCCAGGAGGGACATCCCTGTCCTGGGGGACACCAAACCGAGCATCAGTGGCCAGGGAGGGAGAGGATTATCCCACTCTGCTGTGCACTGAGGCAGCCTCACCTCCAGTGTTGGAGACAGTTCCGGGTGTCTCAATATAAGAAAGACCAACAGGAGTGTCCAAAGGAGGGACACAAGRATGGGGAAGGGTCTGGAGGGGCCACACGAGGTCACTTGATCAGTTGAGCCTGAGGGCAGAGCTCCCCGGGGGCTGCAGCTCCTCCCAAGGGACAGCACAGGGACAGCTCTGATCTCTGCTCTGGGACAGGGACAGAGCCAGGGAGTGGCTGGAGCTGGGCCAGGGCAGGCTSAGGCTGGAGAGCAGGGAAAGGTTCTTCTGTCCCCAGAGGGTGCTGGCACTGCCCAGGCTCCCCAGGGAACGGGCACGGCCCCGAGGCTGCCAGAGCTCCAGGAGCGTTTGGACAGCGCTGCCAGGGATGCACAGGCTGGGATTGCTGGGGGGGCTGGGCAGGGACAGGGGTGGCACTGGGTGATCCTGAGGTCCCTTCCTGCTCAGGATATTCCAGGATTCTCTGATTTGAAAAGAAAAGCAAGACTCAGCCTGTGCTGACTGTGCCCTGGAGCAGTCACAAGATCCAGTGTTTGTCAGTTCATACAGGAGCTTCACTGAGATCTGATTGGAGAGAAGAGTTAATAGGGATAACAGGTCCATTTCTAATGGAATTTATAAATACAGAGAAAAGAGTGCCCCCTCTAATTTGGACTAAACTGTTCCTCAGATCCTTCAGTATGACATGTGGAACGTCACTCCCTCTGACCTTTGGGACTGGAAGGCTTTGAAGGAGAAGATTGCCAAGTGAGTAACCCTACATGATTTATAGTAGRTGCATTGATTTATAGTGAAATGCATTCATCAAATCTCAGCATGGTTTGGGTGGGAAGGACCTCAAAACTCATCCAGTGCCACCCCCTGCTATGGGCAGGGAGCCTTCCACTATCCCAGGRTGCTCCGAGCCCTGTCCAGCCTGGCCTTGGATATGAATTTGGTATGTTCTGTCTGCTGAGAACTAAAGGCAGGGTCCAGGTGTAAAAACAGCCCCATGTGTTCCCCCCATGCCAGCAGATCTTTCTGCAGAGCTGGTTTTTGGGTAGCTTTCTTTTGTTTTTGTCCTTCCAAGGTAGAGGAGCCCACCCCCACTGCTCTGCTATAGCTGAGCTTTAATTCCGTCTCAGATTCATCAGGAGGAGAACTTATGTTCCCATTAAACAGTGAGGAAGGAGCCCTGAGCTGGGCTTGGGGACTCTTCCCTGCTGCCAGGGAAAAGCTGAGCTTTGAACATCCTGAATCAYTGATGTGTGAAGTGCCTGTCACGAGCTAATTCCATCTGTTCAGCTCTTAATTTTTAAATGTGGTGAATCTGGCCCCTGTGTTGTGTGTGGCCAGGTTTCAGCCTCTTCATGGGCTGCTGGTTCATTTGTGCCTCAGGGCTGTGGATGGTGCAGTGCCTGGCAGATTGTCTTCCCTGTGCCCCAGCCCATGACTGGATCACTTGGGAAAGCCCCTGGAGAAAGATGAAAGCAGCAAAGCCTTTAATTCTGCTTCCACTTGACCCACAGTGCCAGTTCAGTGGTGCTTCCCTTTTCCCTGTGGGTGATGTGAGGCTTTGCAGGTTCCCMCAGATTTCCCACTGTGCTGTTCCTGGCTCTTTTCTGTCCTTGGCTGCAGCTCCCTCACTGTGCCTGTTGTCCCCAGGTACGGTGTCAGAAACAGCCTCCTCATTTCCCCCATGCCAACGGCTTCCACTGCCCAGATTCTGGGCAACAACGAGTCCATCGAGCCCTACACCAGCAACATCTACACACGCAGGGTCCTCTCAGGGGAGTTCCAGGTGAGCTCTGGGGGAAGAGCTTTGATATTTCCATGTCTTTGATGACTAAAGAAGACAAGGGGRGGTTTCACACCTGGGGGCTCAGTTCAGCTGGATGTTTGTGCCCAAGCACCAAGGGGAGCACCGGGTGCTGCACAAGTCCAGCTCTGTGTGTTCCACAGTCACCATGGAATAGGTGAAATTGTAAACATGTGCTGCTTTTGTCTGGGAAAAACCTTTATGGGGCCTCAAGGTGGGTTGGAGTAACTGCTGAGCAGGAATTGGTGATATTATAGAAGGGATATGGGAAGAGTAGCTGAGACCACAGTCCTGAGAACGAGCTGTGGAGATCTTCAGAGGTCTGAAGGGGCTGTGGAAGAGCTCCAGAGGTTCATGGGGTCTGTCAGTTAGGAAAGGGAGTGAAACAAGTCTAGTTCTGGAGGCTGGAGTCCCCTCTGGAGATTAGGGGAGTGTGTCCCTSTTTGTCTCCATCCCCTCAGGGCTGTCTCAGTGCTCTCCATTCCTCCTGGCTGCAGGATCACTCCAGACAGGAGTGGGAAGGCTGGAACAGCAGGATCATTGCCCTGCCCCCTGTGTAGGGCAGGGGAGAGCTGTGGGGCAGGGACTCCAGTCCCAGCAGGAAAAAGTGACTGTGTTTTGTTTTCTTCCCAAATATTCAGCCTGCACCTGTTCTGTTCGTTCTTTCCTGACCCCAGCCTTGATTACACCTTTCTTAAGGACGTCAGGCTCTGGCACCCTGGGACACCAAGATGTCTCCTTTTCCCACCTTTCGGAGTTCCTCCTGCAGGGCAGTTCCATTCACCCCCTTTTCTAATTTACCATGTCCAATAGAATCGCAGAATGGTTTGGAGGGACCTTAAAGATCATGCAGTTCCAGCCCCTGCCATGGGCATAGACACCTTCTGCTAGACCAGGCTGCTCCAAGCCCTGTCCAGCCTGGCCTGGAACATTGCCAATGCTCAGAGTCGGTCAGRAATGGGCAAGATCCTGTTGAACCATTTAAAATCCTTTGTCTTCTGCCCCTCACAGGTTGTGAATCCCCATTTGCTGAAGGATCTCACGGAGAGGGGCCTGTGGAACGAGGAGATGAAGAACCAGATCATCGCCCACAACGGCTCCATCCAGGTAGGGGGGGAGCAGGGCAGGGATTCCTGCCAGGCCTGGATTCTCACTTATCAGAAGGGTTATAATGGGGGCATTCCATAGCAGATAGTATCATGGAATATCCTGAGCTGGGAGGGACCCCCAGGGTGACCCAGTGCCACCCCTGTTCCTGCCCAGCMCCCCCAGCRATCCCAGCCTGTGCATCCCTGGCAGCGCTGTCCAAACGCTCCTGGAGCTCTGGCAGCCTYGGGGCCGTGCYCGTTCCCTGGGGAGCCTGGGCAGTGCCAGCACCCTCTGGGGACAGAAGAACCTTTCCCTGCTCTCCAGCCTGTCCATATAAGACTGCTGAGGGAGAGCTGAGTTTGCATGTGCTTGGTGCTTGCAGACACAGGATAGGATGTCCAGAGGAGGCCACCAAGTTATCAGAGGGATGGAGCACCTCTGCTACAAGGAAAGGCTGAGAGAATTGGAATTGTTCAGCCTGTAGAAGAGAAGGCTCCAGGGTGACCTTCCAGGACCTAAAGAAGCCAACAGGAAACATGGAGAGAGGCTGTTTACAAGTGCCTGGAGGGACAGGAGCCTGGGAATGGCTTCCCAGTGCCAGAGGGCAGGGCCAGATGGGATATTGGGCAGGAATTGTTCCCTGGGAGGGTGGGCAGGTCCTGGCAGGTCCTGGGTGCCCAGAGAAGCTGTGGCTGCCCCTGGATCCCTTTGAGTGCCYAAGGCCAGRCTGGACATTGGGGCTGGGAGCAGCCTGGGACAGTGGGAGGTGTCCCTGCCATGGCAKGGGTGGCACTGGGGGRGGCTTTGAGGTCTCCCTGATCCAAACCATTCCAGGATTTTGTGTTTGGATTCAGGGATAGAGCTCAGCTGTACAGACCTCAGTTCCAGTCAGGATTGCTGGAGTCCTGGCAGTCACTGAAGAATTCCATGTTACAAATAGGGATATTTGGGCAGTCCATGCTTTCCACACTGGAAACCTCCTCCTGTTCCTTTCAGAGCATCCCTGAGATTCCTGATGACCTGAAGCAGCTCTACAAGACCGTGTGGGAGATCTCCCAAAAAACCATCCTGAAGATGGCTGCAGACAGAGGGGCCTTCATCGACCAGAGCCAGTCCCTGAACATCCACATCGCCGAGCCCAACTACGGCAAGCTCACCAGCATGCACTTCTATGGCTGGAAACAGGTACTGGGGGCTTGTTCCTGACAGACAGGCATCATCTGGGGCTGGGGACTTGTTCCTGWYAAATGGGGGCATCATCTGGGGCWAGGGGCTTGTWCCTGTCAAATGGGRCATCATCTGGGGCTGGGGCTTGTTCCTGAYAAATGGGGGCATTACCTGAGATGGGGGGGCTGTTCCCAATACACAAGGGTTGTACCTGGGACTTGGGGGCTGGGGCTTGTTCCCAACAAACAGGGAGACTACCTGTGGCTGGGGCTTGTAAGTTTGCCACACAGGGACGGGTAAGGTCTGGCACAGTAAGTTGGTGTCACCAATTCCAGGAAGGGCAARCAGCTGTTCCCTTCCAAGAATCTGTTTTTCCCCTGGGTATCTCAGAGCAGCAGAGCTGGGGGTGCCCGCCCTGCTGCTCCTGTTAACCCTGGGTGCTGCTGGCCGTGCCTGAGGCTCCCATTGTGTCCCCAGGGCCTGAAGACTGGCATGTACTACCTGCGGACAAAGCCAGCTGCCAACCCCATCCAGTTCACCCTCAACAAGGAGAAGCTGCGGGAGCGGGAGAAGGCTTCCCGGGAGGAGGAGGAGAAGGAGAGGAACAAGGCAGCCATGGTGTGCTCCCTTGAGAACAGGGAGGAGTGCCTGATGTGTGGCTCCTAAGGGATCGCCCAYGGCTCCAGCAGAGCTGTTGCACCTGGCTGGAGCTGCTGGGATGAGAGCGTCTGGAATAACGTGAGGWTGCAGGGGGCTGGGGCTGGGAGGGGGGGTAGTGTAGCTTCCCCATCCACAGGGATGGGGCACATGGATAGGGTGTGCATTGCTTTAGAAGCTCGGCTTCCCAGGAATTTTGATGCTCTGGCAGGGCCGTGGCTTCCTTCCATGGAGGCCTGCGGGCAGGAGTGAGGGCAGGGCGGTGCTGGTGCCACTTACAGGTCTGTCCTGGTCACTCCAGACTGTGCCTTCCAGCCACCAAAGACTGTTCCTCACGTCCCAGAGGAAGCAGCACCCCTGGCTGATCCCTTTTCCTTGGCTGATCCCTTTTCCTTGGCTGGAACCCCCCTGGTGCAGGTGTGTTCAGTGTCTGCCAGGGCACTGCTGACACCCCTGGAGTGTCCCCACCTGCCAGAGCCTCCTGCTGCTCCCTCTCCTGTCCCCTCCTCTGGCTTTTCCAGAAGGTCTTTGGAAGGAGCAGATGGGTGGAAGGGGTGTTGCTCTTCTCCCTCAGCTGCCCGGGCAGAGTGTAGCACTGGCTGAAGGTCCCTTTCCAGTGGGGCYAGGAAAGGCAGAGCTGCTGTGCTGCCTTGTGTTTTACCTTAAATTCACGTCTTTAGTCTCATTTCTCAGGCAGTTTCCTGGCAGGGGCCCAGTGCAGTCCTTGGCCACAGGTCAGGTGCCCTCATGTGAGGGCCACATGCCYGTGGTGAAGGTCACCTGCCATCTCTCCCAGGGAAGCTCCATTTCTCCACACCAGGTAGTTCTTAGATCTTCTAAAGCCCTTATCATTTTACTGCTCCTGTACCCACTCCCTGCTCGAACTGTATGGGCCTTCAGGCAGTTCTGCAATATTTATTGAACTCTTGAACCATAACCAAACCCAAATCCAGCCAAACTCAATAAAACATGGAATGTCGAAGGAATAAGTGGTGCTATCTTGGGAACACTGTTTTTTGATGAAAAATGGGCATCTATGAAAACAGGTTTGTTGTCGCTGTTGGCTAGACAGCAACACAAAATAACAGATGCAAAGACATACATATACACAGAATTAATGACTCACTTTATTACGAGGTAAGCTTTTTTAATCTACTTAGTAACTAGTGTATACATTTGTGTTAAACATGCATTGGTTAAGAGATAGCTGTTTAGTTACTCATTAGTGTATGATCGGTGGGTTTGCAAAGAGCTATAGTGTTATCAATGTTTTTAGTTCGGCTACTTGTGTTACCGATTTTACATTTCATTCTYCTTTTCTCAGAGACARTTACGGATGTGGTGTTTTTCTTCCATGCAGGCTGTTAACATTCCCTTTATTATGTAACTCTACAGTTTGTGTTGTGGCTCCTGTGCTGCTTTCCACAGGGGAAGGGGGACATTGTCCCTGTCCACAGCTCCCTGACAGGAGGGGCCAGCTGGGGGAACGGGGACAGGATGAGAAGGAACGGCCTCAAGCCACACCAATCCCGGTGCCTGTCCCGAGCTCACCATTCCAGGGACACAAGAAACCCGGTCCCTGTCCCTGTCCCATCCCTGTACCGAGCTCACAGTCCCTGTCCCGGTTCCTGTCCCATCCCTGTCCCATCCCTGTCCCTGCGTCTGCAGTTCCTCGCGGTGCCGCCGGAGGGCGCTGTTGGCCCGGGGACGTTGGGACCCTGCCCGCCCCCCCCTCGCGTGTCCTCGGGGCTCCTTCCCGAACCTTCTGACAGCTCCYCAGGCCTTCCATGAGCTCCCAAACCTTCCCAGACCTTCCCARAGCTCCCAGCCTGGAAGCAGGGCTCGCTGTGGGTCAGTCCCGGGTTTCCACTCGAGGGCTCTGGAATTCAGGCCCCACCTGTCCCGAGCCACCACCCCAAAGCTCCCGCTGTGTCCCAGGAGAAGCTCCAGCAGCATTGCCCTTCTCCAGCCCAGCTTCCCTGGCCAGGYGGGGACACAACCACGGAACACAGAGATGGCTCGAGTTTTCCTCATGTCTGGAATTCAGTTTTGGTCCCGCTGCCACCTCCAGGCAGCTCTGGTTCCACTGGGGCACAGCTCTGTCATTCCAAACAGGGAGGCACTGGGGGGAATGGTGGTTCTGAGATCTGTTAAACCTCATCACTCGACTGCTCCTGTACCCACACCCTGCTCAAACTGCCTGGCAGCTGCTGGACAGCCGTGGCAGATCCTTGCTGGAACTGCCTGACATGGAGACAGCAGGATGTGGGAACAGGAGAGTGGGGCWGGGGCACTGGGGAAAGGGGAAATGGGTACTGAGGGCAGGGAGGAATGGGACAGGGGCACTGGGGTTCCTGCTGGTGCATCCCTGGGCTCTGGAGTCGCTGGGGCTGTCCCAGCTCTGACAGAGGTTCCTGGCTCAGGATTTGCTGTGCCTGTCTTGGTTAAATGCTGAGGAGTTCCTGAGCCAGGAGCTTCTCTCAGGTTCCTCCCAGGAGCTCCCCTCGTGCCCCCAGGGACCCCTCATCCCAGTGGCCATTCCCACAGCTCCAGGTCTCCATCTCCCAGGATGTGCAGCSTGGTGGCCGTTAGGCTGCACTGCTGCTCACAAATCCGCTCCTTCCTTCCACTCATTTATTTTCCCAGGTAACGAGGTTTGTGAAGCTGGGAAGAGCTCAAATACAGGACAAGGGGAATTATTAGCAGGGAGGCACAAAGGGATGGAATCCTGTTACCCATCTTCTCTGGCTGAGCCTTTGGAATTACTGGCTCAGGAAAGATACTGGCTTGGGTTTGTATGATCAGAAGTAACAAGTAACAGGGAATGAAAACAAAAGTAGCATTTAATGAAGACATTTCTGCAATGTCCTCAAGAGCGACATTGAGGG